AGTAAGGCACTTGTTACTAGAAGCGATGCACTTGTTTCTAGTAGCTTTTTGTTTCTACATATAACGTCGCCCCAGCCAAAGATAAGGAAAAAACAGAAGTCTTCAGAGACCGGTGGGTCTTCGGAGCCACCTTCACCTGCCGCTTGCCTCAAGGCCAATGAATTCGTTTGGGCGCTGGCTGATCACTTACAAGATTTGCGGGCATTTCCTGTCAGATCAGATGATGTGCAACATCCCGATGCTCAAAACTCTTTGAAAGTGGAAGCGATCTGTGAGAATTGACATGAAATCGATTGGAAATGATTTGAATATTGGATGTGTGCAAGTGTCATACAGTATAGTATATACAGTGTGTTGTTGATGGGGATGCGGGATTAACCAGGTGGGTCAGATCTTTATCCAGCGGCCTTTGCACAAGTGCAAGCGCCCATGGTTGGTTTGTCCATGCTGCTGGGATTGCTTGACTTCATCGTCCAAAAGACCGCAAGCCGCCTTCGCAAATATAGCTTGGCTACCGTAAGCGTCGATGTGGCGGTTGGGGCGCCTTGCGCAAGGCCACTGTCCTCATATTTGTCCGGGTCACACCGACTTCACATGGCAAGAAGGGGACTAATCCAACCCTCCCAGGCAGAACAGCTTCGTCATCCAGATGCCTCAGGACTCCGGACGACTTCGTCATCCAATTCCGGCTTGCCATGTGGCTTTAGCACCACTTGCATTGTACATACCGCAGATGACTGAGAGCATTGCAGCTTTGGGGAGTTGAGGGATGCTGACAGTTCCCAGGTTAGTCCAAAAGTCCAAGAGCTCACATACAGTGCTTTGCAATCCTTTGCCATTTCAATATGCTTCGCAGACTTGGACAACAACAGCAGCAACAAGTGCCATTCCTAAATGTTTCTTTGGCTTTGTCAAGCTCTTTTTCAACACCCACATTCTGAAGCAGCCAGCATGCATGCCCCCTCTGGTTGACGAACATAGAAGAATCACCAGAAAGAAGCATCGGTTGGTAGCCATGGACTCACCATCGCGTGATTTGCGCATGCGCGGCAGCCCCGTCTCTCGCGAAGCGGCCAGCTGCGCGCCAGACAAGGCGGACTTGACCGATGGGATTGTGGCTTCGCAGCTTTCAAAGGAGATAGGGCGGTGTAGGTGACAGTCCTTTACCAGCTTTCGCTCCAGGAATGCCGATCATCTGACACGTCGAACACAGTCGGAAACATACCCTAGCAGTGATCTACAAACTAGAAATGTTTGGCAGTCATGGGAAACTGCTGTTTTCACCCCCTTGAATACTGGAAAACATACAGTAATGAACAACTGTAAGAAACCGCTCTTTGCGTCGTTGCACCTGCTGTGACCATGAAGCACGTCAGAGGTTCGGGTGGGATCCCTCCTTGTGAACTTTGTTTGGTAAGTAATATGTGAACCTGTGCCTGTTCATTTTCTTGCTGCACACTGGGCAATAGAACTACACAATGCACCATGATTGAATGTGCCTGCCAGAGCTTAAACCAATATCAATAGCCAATAACACAGTGTTTGGCATGCGGCAGGTTTTCTTTGGAGACGATATCTCAATCAAGGAACCCATACAGAAAGGAGAGACAAGATATGTATAATGTGCATATAGCACTCATACAATGAAGGTGCAATCTCGGCTGCGCAACCGAGCCATCGGGAGTGTGCCATTCAAAACGGAGATGTTTGCACTTGTGATCTCCTACTGTGCTACGGTCCAGGGTTTTATGCGAGAGCCACCATTTTTTCGCCATTTCGCTCCAGGTGGTCAAAGTGGCCGCAACTTCCACACGGCGTTTGATGAAGAGCCTTGCACGGTTGGTCTTGGCCCCTTCCCAACCTTCATAGGCCAAAGATGGCTGTAAGTCCCTAAGACTGTAGTAGGAAAGGTCCGTCGGCGTTAAGACGAAAGTCAGATGTCACCTGGTCGGCCGAGGATCAGCAGCCTGACTCTTTTCGCAACCATTTTCTTGTTGCTTGGCTATGTTGGGGGGTGTGTTGCCTTTGCCTCACACCCATGGTCGGCTCCGTTCGCTGGAGTGATTTCCAAGCATCGGAGGCGTTCCGTGCAGTACGGCCACGGTTGATTCCATGCGGACTGGGCAATTGGTGGGCGTTTCTTGTGATAAAGACATTATCTCATAGTATCTCATGTTTTTGCATGTGAACGTGTATGCGTCAATGCACTGCATACGTACACATTGATGCACCATGCTCACCAATACATCCATGATATCACCCAGAGATTTCATGTGGAGTCCTTCTACTTCTGGGGGTTTTGTGCGAGGTTCGCCCTTCTTGGAGTGGCCATCCCGAATCATCGAAGATGAAGGGATCCACCGGAACATCCTCGCAGCCATGTTCCTCACTGGGATCACTCTAGTGGCCCTCGAGGCCTGGACCAGTAAGACGGAGCTGCAAGAGCTCCTTGTTGGTGTTTAGACTGAGTCACTTGGGACAGGCCGGACTCCCGTCAGCATGCAAAGAAAAGACATGTTTGCGTGGTCAGAGTGCGGATTTTGCTGGCCATATCTTGCAATATGTTCAAGATGCTTGTGCGAACTTGTCGCTTGACATGTGGCGTGAGGATGTGGTGCGACTAGACAAGTCTGCCATCATGCTGATTCTGGCATCAGACACTCAGCTCTTAAATATGTTGGCATGTGTGCCATCATTTGTGTAGAACATGGATGAACATCGTGATACGGCAAACGATTGCAGATGATATCCAAGAAACCGTGTAGCCCCAGACATCCCAAGAAACATTTGCACAGCGTGCTCGCACAGTGCCCATTTTGTGGGAGAGAACGCGGTTGAAATGACAAGAGATGCGCCTTTTTTTCAGAGCCTCAAGGTGATGTGGACCTACCACGCAGCGTCCAAACATCCGACCAAATCTCACGAGGGCAGCTTGACTTGGATAGAAGCCATGCGAAGCCCGAAAAGGTTGCAGCGGCAAGGCGTGGCCAGAGGCCACTTTTGTGTGTGTGTAACTGTCGTGGGAGCATGCTACTGTAGCTTTACCCTTGGGATGAGGTCCCACCAGGTATGTTGAAGGGCGAGCACACTTGGTCAATCTGGCTGTTTTCGTTTGCTCCCGCCGAGCGGATCCAATTCAAGAAGGATACATGCGCTTTGGATTTTGGCGAAGACACCCATGGGCCCATTTGGGCTAGGCAAATCCAGAATCTCGGGATGTGAGTGTTTCTCAGTAGAGATTTCGTCTTTACTGACTTGACTCCCGAAGGGCCGCAGCGCCCCCAAGGTCATGAGCACCTCTCGAACGAGCTTGGAAAGGGTTTGGTGGACGTGGGCAGTGCCACCCGCCGAAACCGGCCGCAGCGTGAAGACCAACTGAGCAAGGGAAAGAGTAAAGTGACATAGTATATCAGCTTCATAATATGATGACGTATAGTGACGTTAGGGGAGGTTGGTGCTGTGGGAGCCAGGGCACCGTCCGAATGACCTGGTTTGGAAATGCTCTTTTGATGACACCACTTCAATCTTCATCGATCTTCCATGGGGTCCATCACCTCACACTGCCAAGGCTCCTCAAAATGCGGTAAACAATCGGTGATGTATCTTCAAAGTTGAACACACCAATGTTGGAGCCCGGCTCCGGTGCCAAAACATGTGGTTTGCTTGGGTGCGTGACGTGACAGTTAAGACAGTTAAAATCACCGTGTATAGAACAGTATACAGAGATTTGGTCCTCCACTAAGCAGCCAGATGAAGCGACCGGGGTGCCGTTCAGGTGATCCTCTTCCTGCTTCCAGCCATGGCCTTGGTGGAATCCGTTGATCACATGGGTGGCTTCGCAGGGATCACCAACTACCTAGTGAAACGTGCCTCGTTGGAGAAAATGCTGAAGATTGATTATATACATGCTTCAGTTGACGAGGCTGTGTTTTTTTGCCGGAGTGCATTGCTGGGTAAGACTCAACTTGGATTTTTTAGTTTAATTCATGGTTTTAAAGCTGTTGTGGTCAGTCTTTGGTCCTGTTTCAGTCTCATTTCAGTTGGAAAGCGTCAAAACATATTTAGCAATCGGGGCGAACACTGACAGGGCTTTGTTGCTAGTTGAATCGCCACCGTTTGTTCCACTTCTTGCCTGTTCGGCCTTTCCGCTACTTGTGCGAGGCACCCGGGACAAGCCCGGCCGTTTGATGCCCATGATTTGCTTCTTAGCCTTTTTCCTCAGCTCTCTCATCGATAACTTGACTGCAGCTTGGGCTAAAATGCTGGTTCTTTCGTCCAGGTCGAACTTCAGCACCCCAAAGAGATCGACTTGCGATGGGTGCAGGTCGCCAAAGTGGCGACATCGGTCCAAATCGCCGACCGCTTCTCTCGTGGGTGTTTCATGATTGCTCAAGCTTGCTCATCAGCTCGCCGTGGTGAGGCCACCATCGTTTGCGTGAAAATCCTGCAACGCGTGGTTCCTCACAGCGACCTGAGCTGCAAAGGAAGGAGGGCAGGGAGAGATCACGCCTATCGCATTGGGCTTTTTGGGCATGTACTGTAATTTGAGTACCGAAAGGGTACCTCATAAATCTGAGGTCTTTGAGCAGTGTCAACGAGAGGGCACCGAACACATGAGAAAGTGTTGCATGGAACCATCATGCGTTCATCCCAGCCGTGTGATCTATTGTCATTCTCAGTTGACCTGACCTATAGCTCTTAAAGCCTGCTTGGGCTCGCAAAATCGGGACCCCCAGTTCCGCGACAGAAAGAATTAGACGCCACAGTAATTAGCTGCTTTTATTGTTTGCCAGAGGCAAGGTAGTCCGACAAGGCCCAGCCCAGGTTTGGACCCACCATTCTGAAACCCCGACACCTTGGTATGGCCGCAGCAGTTCCAAGCGTGAGCCGCGAATGTCGGCTCCAGGGCAGCAGTGGCGCCACTCCTGTGGGGGGCTGGTGGTGGTCAGCGCCAATGCAGGGGGCGCTTGGAGCCCCATCGGCGATGTGACCACCACAATGCTTTGGATCCAGCACAAGGTGCAGAAACAGCTGGGTTTTGAGGGGCAGCCGGACTGAAATCTGGATTATAGATATTCTAGATTCTAAATTGTTCTAGTAGTTTCTAGTATATACATAATATATATATTTTTGTTTTACAGTAAATACATGTAAATACATAAGATAAATTAGATAGCACCACGCAGTGACCTCAGAGTGTCCCCTACGGCAACGACCACATGTGCCGTCAACTTCTTCCATGAGGTGAGCACCATCGGCATCGTCCAGTGGCTCTTCCTGCCCTCCTTCGTCGCCGCAGTGATCCCACTCTTTGGCATTTGGTGGCAAGCCAGCCGGGATTGCAACAGCCAGGAGTCCGAGCCGCTTGGACCGAACCGATGTGTTCTGGAACGACCCCGGGGTGTTCCGAGGCGCGGTCATCCAAGTTGGGAAAGTCGGTCTATGGAGACCCGACGGGTCAAGTGGCAGAGCCCTGTGTTCATAGATTCAGCCGAGCAAGCTACTGTGGACGTTTGATTTGTCCAACTCATTACCTTTGAACCTACACCTTTGGAATGACCCTGCATTCGCCCAAAGTGTATATGTGTGGCGGCCGGGAAATGATCACAAGCCACGGACGTGTTAAGAACGGATGACGGCAGAGCATGCGCATGACAAGCTGAGAAGCCACCAATCACGAAGTAGTTCACGAAGTGTGGTATGAGCTGTAGGTTTGTTTTGTAAGCCAAGTGCATGTTCATTCCGCAGGAGGCCTCGTTTTCTATGTATACTGATTGCATCCAGCGGGTCATAGTGGGTCTATCTCTCTACCAGGTGGAAAGGAGGTGATTTGATACCAGCAGCCTCAAACAATCCTTAACCAGCCGAAATGATGCTGCTTTAGCGAAGCGTTTCCTGCTTCTGAAAACCTCCGAAAGCGTGTGTGTTCGATTTGGATATTCAGGCAAGCCTGCAATGGTCCCCCAACAAATAGGAGCAATGTTTGAATGCATTTGTAAAGACTTGGATGTTATTGAATCAAACAAACCAGTTCTGACGCGGGGAGCGCCGAGAGGGTCGGAAGAAGCTGCCGGCTCCGGAGGCAGAAGTCGGAAGAAGCCATGCTCCCAACCACTCGAGCGACCTCGGTGGTTTTGGGCGTTGGCATCACATGCATCCTGGCAGTGCCTCAATGCATGTGATTGGGTGATGAATCAGATACGTGGCCCATTCTGCCGTATATTTGCACATGCTAATATACAATATATATATATATAATATATACCAGAAAGACTAGACAAGGAAAAGGTCACTCAAATTCTGACAGGGAGGATTTGTGTGGGTTCATGTGTGATTCTATTTGAGCCTTGCGTTGGGGGTTGAGAGTTCCCCTGAGAGGCAGCAAACATCAAAGCAATGCACCGGGAATCTGGCAGTGGGGAGTGAAGACGAGTGAAGCCAGCAAATCATCACATCGGCTTAAACCAGCTTGCTGGACACAAGAGGTGGCCAACAACAAGAGATGGACAACAGCAATTACAAAATATGTGTATATGTTTTTATCGCCATCAATATATATATATATATGCATGCACCCACGGGTAATATGTTTGCTTGCAAGTGCATGGTTGAAAAGCTTCTTTGTTTTCAATCCCAAGCACCTACGTGCCAGGTGCCACTAGTAAAAATGGTCACCGGATTGCCGCCATATTTGGGAATGATGATGCCTTGGCAAGAATTGGAAGGCTTTATTCTTGTACACTTTGCAGTGTGAATGCGTATTTCATCCTGATGCTAGACCTTGCAGATTGGGATGTGTTGTTTGTTCTTTTGGGCCCCTTTATGACTGACTTTCAGCACTTGCAAGACCTGCAACATGATGCTTGACCCACAGGTGGTGATATTTTCGGATTGATTAAATCGTTCGTTGATCTTGCTGCCGCCCCTCGAATGCTGCACGTGTCTAACCTGCTGTGGGATGTTTGACCTTAAATATTGGACCTAACGGTCCTATTGGATGCCCCAGTTTGAGCCTGGTTTGGCACTCAAACATCAGGATGGCCTTGGGCATTTTCTGGCTGGTCACAGAAATAGCAGGACTGCATGAGGACGGGGGGGTTGCTTTGAACCTTGCCCTTGGCCCTTGGTAAAAAGATTGGGGCGATCTTCATTCCAAGCCCTTTGTGTGTGTGTAACTGTTGCGTGCGGCGTTACAGCACAAGCCAAGCCGCAAGTCAAGAGGTTTTGACGTTTCACGGTTGTTTGGGGCCTACACCACGGGTTTGCTGCGAGGATGGCGAACATGGAAAGACTGGTGTCCCAGCAGCCCTGCACAAGGCATCGGTGTGTGGCCAGAAAGTTGGGTCAGTACGCTGGTCATGAACATAGGGAGAGTGGGCCTTCTGGCAGACTTTTTCCTTGGAAGACTTTTTCCTTGGGTGGATAATAAGAAGCCCCATAGAAACTTCAGTGTTTGAAACACAACATTTTCTCTTTGCAAGCTAGGTGGATTTGAGCAGTCTCCTGTTCTTCATCGGTGTCTTGATGGCAGTGTCCACGCTGGAATCTGCCGGGGTATTGTCCCGCTATGCACTCTTCATGCAGCGGGTTTGCCCCGAGCCCACGAAGCTGGCAGCAATCTTAGGGGTTTCTTCTGCGGTCGTGGACAACGTCCCCTTGGTGCAGGTGCACGTCGTTGTCGCGCGTATCGTCATTCATGTCGTTGTGAGGATGGGTGAATGTGAGGATGAGAAAAACACATGTAATATATACATAATATATATATATATATGCGTGATGTGACGCTAGCAATGGTCGAAGCATTGGCCCTCTAGTAAATGTTTTGATGGGAGGCAGGGAGGCACCTCGAAAGAGAAAGGTTGGATGTCCACTGGGAATCTGAGGATGCTCACCATATCTCACTACGGATTTCGGGGTCGGCCCACCCATCCAGGATGGAGCCTTGAAAAACATGGCTTCCGAAAGCGTATCCACAAGGGAGGCCGTTTCAGCTGCGGACAAGGCCTCCATCGAGATGTTCGAGGAACCGATGGATGCGCCTCTATGGCAGTTGGTCGCCCTTGCAGCCGGCACTGGTGGCTCAATGCTGGCCGTTGGCAGTGTGGCAGGCGCCCACCCGATCTCACAGATTCGTGGGGAGGGCACCTGGCTGGGTTTGGTCACTGGTTGGAGTCAGGGGAGGCTTCACCGACAGCAAGTTGATGAGAACATTTGTGTTGTCCCCGGGTCTCTAGAGTTGATGCCAGTACCGGCACGCTGCTTTTCTTGTAAGCTGCTCGGTTTGACTGCGGGATGGCGTGCTCCACGCTTGTGTCGGGCTGTGGGAGTGGTGTTTGGACTGCAGAGCAGCGTGACAGAACAAATCGGAAGAAACGTCAGAACACAAGTCGGACTTGATGTCAGGACACATGTGAGGACACATTTGAGAGGCAATATCAGAACGCATGCCAGAATTGGTGCGAGAAGAACATTGCTTCCGTGTATATGTCGCGCAGCGCTTGTCAGGATGGGCCTGTCAGTACATGCATGTTTGGCCACGTGAACTTCGGGCTTGCCTCGTGACGCCTAGGGAAGGGCCAAAAAGGTAGGTGAAAGGAAACGTAAGGGAAATTAATGAAAACAAACATGTTTTGCGAAGACTGTGTGTTTGCATTTCTGAGCAACACTCAATTCCCCACAGCAATCGCTGATTGAATCACCGCATGTTCTGCGCAGCACTGTTCCTTTCATGGGGTCTTGCAAAACCACCTGGGCCATGTAGCCTTTTGCTCCCACAAAAGCTGTACATTTGGACCACGTGTTTGGGACAAAGTCTCCAGTATGCAACGTCTCCAGATGGATTGGGCAGGGTGCCCAGATCTCTGGAGGTCGATCAACCGACACGACACACCATGTGTTGTGACATCATGTGCCAGGTGTTACGCTGATGGGATTGGAGGGCGTGGGGTTCCTGTGGTACACAAAGAAGATCAGCTTGTGGGCTTTGCTAGGCTTTGGCCTGGCTCTGGGGACGTATCAGCTCCTTGGCGGCATATATAACTCGGGATGGGCACCACCCGGCACAGCGGAAATGCGTTAGAAGTCCAGTTTGGTGCTCCGTGATGTGCAACGGGCGCTGCGATGTAGGAAATGTGAACTGTCGCCAGAGGCTGCAGAGCCTGTTCATGTAGAAGTCCTCCAGAAGTTCTGAGCCTGAGATATAACTTGACTCCTGAAACGTTGGATCCGCAGGTTGCGCTAGGTCAAACGCCTAAACGGCCTAAAGACGTTGGCCGACATCCACATCATGGGACACCGGCAAAACCGTAGATTTTTCTGGGGAGGGGCCACAAAAGCTTGGACATGTCAGACATCCCCAGAAATCTGGGAACTGAACTTTTTCAGACCGAGCCCGTGGAAAGATGATGCTTTAGGAGGTCCAGTCAGCAACAGCTGTGGACAAGACGATGGGAAACAATGACTTTTCCCAGCCGTCCGCTGGTTTTCTTGATTCCAAGCACCTTTTCTTGGGGTTCAGTGAAAACTGTGAGCCTTTGGTGCTTCTCTGTGTGAGCATGGGGCTGCATTGCCTAGGCTCACGCACCTGTGTCTTGAATGATGTTCTCGTGAGACAGCAATTGTTGGATATTATTGGGATTTGTTTGGTGCATGGGCATTTTGATGCCAGAGATGATTCCGGGCATCCTGTACAGCCGGAAGTTGGCAGTTTCCTGTGCCGAAAGGTGCTTGCTAAGCCAATCCCCTTTCCACGGCCCAGCCAATCGCCGAAAAAATGCAGCCCACGAAGTGGCGAATGTATTTCAGTGGGCTTGCTTTGTCGAAAGGAGATTGACATTCATGTTGTCCTGGAATCCTATTGAATCCAGTCCAGTCAGATGTTCTGAAGAGTTGAGTTGTGCATTGGACACCTCGAACTCGAACTCAGCTCTGTGCCGGAAGTGCCATTTTTGCTCCGCAAGTGCCGCTAGGGATGGCCACCCAATGCTTCCTGCCTGCAAAAGTACTGAAGATGACCTAACATGACCGCACATTTGACCAGGGTCCTCATGTTCAAACACTCGTTGGATGCACCTGCATGAGCTTGCCGCTATAGAATGGATAAACCATGAGGGTTTGCCATTTGGTCAAGAGATTTTCTCCTGCATCTTGCACGTTGCGGGACCCTAAAAGATCAAAAGAGCAAAGCAAGACATCAAAGTGCCGTGCAGGAGACCGACCAGTCGCATATAGGAAGGTAGATGTTCGGGATTTGGCTACCTGCGATGTTTTATCATGGACATGTGGAAAAAACGCCAACTTGCAGTTTGGTTGAGCTTCGCATGCTTCGCTCTTCGCGTTCATCCTGTCGGTTGGAGGCCTGGATATGGCTTCCTGCTACTGCCGGAAGCCCTAAGCAGTGGACGAGCGGGCAGTTGACCATCAGTCTTGCCCACTTGGTTGAAGTCCGAGAGAACGGCTGAAGACATGCAGGCACCTGCAGACAGATCCAGACATACATACACATGTTTTATTACGTGCATATCCAGACATACATGTTCGACCGTGCTTCTTTGATGTACATGCATCCACCCTGGAAGAGCAGGGTGTGGGAATTGCTCAGGACCGTTCTGCCAGTGGCAACGGCCCAAGGCCCTGCCTTGTCATTCAAATCGCTGTGGCCTTTGTTGGAGAACTGTTTTGCAAACTCTGGCATTTCCACAGGAAAGCTCGCTGTCATGAACCCACATCACATGCGCAGCACCTTTTGGCTAAGACGCATTGCTTCGATTTTGATCGATTTTGTTCTGTGGCCATGTCCGGCGTAATGGCGATGCCTGTGGCGGCCGTCCGGGCCGCACCCGTGCAGGCTGCGCCAGTGGCACGTGGCAGCGCTGCTCCTGCACCCACTCTCAAGACATCCTCGAGCGTGGCTGTGATGGGGTTGGCGGCCACTGCGGTCACGGCCGCTGCGGCCCGCCGCAGCGGCCGGGCCCGAAACGGCTTGGCTCAAGGCTTGCATGGCAAGCAGCAGGTGAAGCGGTCTTTGAGCAGCGCAAAGGCGGCTAGCACATGATTGGCCTTTTCCCATACTTGGAGATCTCGCATGTTGTTTTTCCCATGGGGAATGAGTCAGGGGGCTTTTGACTGCATGAGCCCGACAGCTTGGTCCCTCCCCTCAGTCAGGTCGTGGTTTGTGCTGGTGTCAACTTCCCGGAGGGTCGCAAGCTTCGCGTGGCTGTGGTTGGAGGAGGTCCTGCAGGTGCCAGTGCCGCAGATCAGTTGGCCAAAGATGGTGTCGAGACTTTCCTCATTGAGCGGAAGATGGACAACTGTAAGCCCTGCGGCGGAGCCATTCCTTTGTGTCACTGGGAAAACGAGTTGTTGACAGTTCAATATGTATTTTACGATCTGTTCGGCGTTTGGAGACACCTCCGAAGTGGCAAGAGTCCTTGTGCCTCAGCTAAGGCATGATTGATGAGTTTGACTTGCCAAAGGACATCGTTGACCGCCAAGTGAGGAAGATGACCATGATCTCCCCGACAAACAAAGAGGTCCAGATTGGGCAGACTCTGAAGGAGGGCTGGGGTGCAGAAAATAGTTTCTAAATCCTTTTCCTGTGGGTGAGGTAAGGGAGGGACACATCCAAATTCCCCGGGTCCTTTGCTTAGCAAGGGCTCAGCCTCCTGAGTCATAGACTGAGGACGATGAGTTCATTGGCATGGTTCGCCGAGAAGTCCTGGACGACTTCCTGCGGCAGCGTGCCAAGACCAATGGTGCCACTTTGATCAACGGACTCTTTCTGGGCATGACCTTGCCTGAGAAGAAGGGTGACTCCTACGTGTTGACCTACAACGACTATGCCGGTGAGGAGGGAAATGCCCGCAAGGGAGAGAAGAAGACCCTGGAGGTCGACGTGGTCATTGGCGCAGATGGTGCCAATAGTCGAGTTGCCAAGGACATTGAAGCTGGCGATTATGAGTCTTTGGGTTGCACTTTCATAACCTGTCCGATGTCAACAACATCTCTCTCCCTCTCTCTCTATATAAATATATATAGAGTTATAGTTATATATATATATCTCGCTATATATATATACATAATATACATTATAAATGATTGTTAATCTCTCTCTCTCTCCATTGCTTTTGATAACTTAGATGTTGTGATGTAGCGGTGCCAATTATATAGGTATGCCATCGCGTTCCAAGAGCGCATGACAATCCCTGATAACAAGATGGAATACTACAAGGACAGGGCCGAGATGTATGTGGGTGAGGATGTGCCTTCCTCGCACTTGGGCCAACTTGGATTGTTTATGATTTTTGGCCTGTCTCTTCAGATCCATGTGGAGACATGGCTTTGCCCAAATCCTGTTTCTCAACTTCTCCTAGATGAACCGAGGTGTCCCCTGATTTCTATGCCTGGGTGTTTCCCAAGTGTGACCATGTAGCAGTTGGCACTGGCACCGTGGTGGACAAGAAGGGTATCCAAAGATATCAGCAGGGCATTCGTGATCGAGCTGCCCCGCGCATCGAGGGTGGCAAGATCATTCGAGTGGAGGCTGAGACTGCCAGACCTGTCAAAACATGGCACACCATGGCACACATTGAGATTATATGATTACTAATTACTAATTACGACGTTTTCCAGTGGCTTTGGGACCACAGGATGACAGGCCGGGCAGGCCACTAAGATCACCGCCACCACTCCATGGCTTCGATGTGAATCACGACCTTCGGCCGCAGGCTCATCCAATCCCAGAGCATCCTCGCCCTTGGCGCGTGAAGGACCGTGCCATCCTGGTGGGTGATGCCGCAGGCTATGTGACCAAGTGCTCCGGAGAAGGCATCTACTTCGCCGCAAAGAGTGGGCGCATGTGCGCGGAGACCATCGTCAAGAACTCCATGCAAGGCGGGATGGTGGATAGGAAGTTTGACGACTGAAATGGCCAGGCGATGCTTTACTGATAGGGGTCGCATGAACTATTTGTTCCAGGGGGTACGTCAATGGGTGGAATCATTTTCTTGGATTCATTTTTCGACCGGGGGGGCATAGGGGGTGTCAACGATGACCAGAATCATTTTTACATAAGGATATGATTCCAGAAGTGATTCCAGAATTGATGATTGCTGCGTTTTTGAATGTCATGTTTGAATGCGCCTGAGTCTCAAGCACACAGATATCTACTACTGGAATGAAGATGAGTCTGAGTTTCATTTTCTTCACATGTTTTTATAGAGTTTGATATCAGTTTGTTAGGAGGGGCGTAGACATATCCGCAGATTTCAGGAAATTATTCTCAGCGTAGACGAAGAATCATTATCAGCAACCTACCTCACACACCTAGAATCAGATAAAATGATTCCTGCGGGGGGTTGAGGTGGGCCCCACTTAACGCAACCCCTAGCTTTACTGTTCGCTGACATGTTGATGCATGAGATTTGAGCCGTGTTTCATACAGGACATGACATCCAAGGAAGCAATGGTAGGACCCTGCAGGCGTTCGCATGATCGACGAAGCTGACCTCATGGAGCACTTGCGCGAATGGGACAGCCGGTAGCCTTGGCCTCACATGAGAAGAAAGGACTAGCAGCATGACCCCTTGGGGATTCCCAAGTGGCGTTTTAAGGGGCTCAAGCGAACTCATGTGCTGTTCTTTTGCGTTGCTTCAACTTGCTTCCTGTATCGGGTGGGGTCAAGAAGATCATCTCGCATGCCGCATGAGTATATGTAATCTAGTTTCATCTAGCCTAGATCCATGTCTCACATGTTGGAGGGATGGCATCAAAAGTCCCCCACAAGGCTGTTGGCAACCAAATTCATGCAGCTTTGGAAGCTGTGCTCAGTAGCGCAAACAATGCCAGGCATTGTGGAACAAACATGACAAGTATGGGCAGTAGTAAGTACAGTAGTAGTCCTGACATGATGCAGTGTGCTCTTCCAAGGTATGGTCCAACCTACCTAGTGTTGGATTTGCTTCAGAAGGTCTTTTATACCAGCGATGCTGCTCGAGAGAGCTTCGTGGAACTGTGCGAGGAGGAGTTCCTCTTCGGATGTTAGAATTGAAGGTTTCAATTTGAATAATGACTGTAATTACTGTAACATAGTCATTTGCATTCATTTTGCTATGGCACATCCAAAATTATCCTGGGCGCTGTTGTGTCACCACGCGGCGGTGCGCAGCGGCTTTGCGTTTGGGGTTGTTGGGGATGCCAAGTGAGGTACGTGCAGAAAGTCACCTTTGACTCTTACCTGTACAAGACCGTCCAGGGAAACGACCCTGTGGGAGACTTGAAGTTGGGCCTCTTGGCTGATTTTCGATGCTTGGGCCATGGCGGCCATGGTCCATGTCGGTCTGGAAATCCAAAACATCCTGGAACTCAGGCTGGAAGACGCTCAGCTCCTTGTACAAGTACAACAATCAGAAAACCCCTGATCCTATGCGAACATTGGCCTGAGCAGTTTTGTACTCTGCATGGAGGGTCATCCAAAGTATGTAGCTTTGTAGCTGCGCAGAGTGACCCATCCATGCATGCTCTTGTGCCTGGCCCTTAGGCCTCATACAACGACAGGGCACCGTTACATACCTTTACTATGTTGTTGTTTTTCATTCCTTGACATTTTTCAAACTCGGCCAGCGTACGATCCCCAATGCCAATGCATGGAAAAGTGTGCGACAGCATGTCAGCTGTCTAAAGAACAAACATGGTTGGCGCCCTGGTAGTTTAAATTCTTAGGCCTCCCGTGCCGAAGCCAATCACTGGTCGCAGCCGTGCTGCTCCACTCTTTAGGCATCTAATCGACCGTTTTCCCGTGCTTTTTGAAGATGCGGGTAATGCGAAACACCGCATTCCAAACCGACCTGCAATGCTCAGCCAAAAAGCGGGAAAAGGCTTCTGGCCGCTAAACAGGAGATACAAGAGCCAAAAATCAGGAGCCACCAAAGTCCCGGTGCTGAGCCCACGCTTGCACTGAGTCGATGCCGTTGAGTTGCTCAGGAAGTATATAGAATTCATATGCAGTAACTCAGCTAACCTACATATTGCTACCTTCAGGACTCATGGCTCAGTTTCCAAGTTCTTGGGACTTGAGCCAGGAGTTCTGAGGGAGTATCCGGGCACATGCTTTATTCAAGAACCGGATTCATACGCGTAAAGACTAGAACATGTGAGGTGGCAGCGTCAGTGTAATGAAAATACTCTCGTGCCACAGGATCAGAAGACAACAAACCGGGGTAGCACCATTTCCTTTGAGGCCCGATGACCATTTTTGCTTTTTTGTGAGTGAACATTTCCCTCAGATCAATGCCATGGCGATTGCTTTGGAGTCTGGCGAGCCTGCTTCACATGACCCTACCGGCTTTGGCAAGCTTGCCCGCCCCTTTGCAGCTACGGCCCGCTTTGGAGGACAGGAGGGCATATTTGCAATGCTAAACGCAAAGGATCCGCAGCCCCCCCTGCAGTGGTCAATCAACCTGTGCAGAAACAAACCTGTCAAGAAGTGGCCTTGTGCAAAAACTGACTCCATTTTTCGTGTTGGCCCAACGGCTCCTGAGACGGCCTTTGGTCTCGAACGCAGCGCACGCTTAAACGGCTTAAGCCGCTTGGCACGACGACATGGTCGTGGGCCACTGCTATGGGTGCTGCGCTCACAAAACATCGAAGAGAACGCGCAGGCAAAGACAGGGTCTTGGTACTGTCGTGTTGGGCGCTGGTAAGGGGTGGGCAAGTGGAGGCATCTACTTAGTTTTGGGCAGCTACTAGTCGACCAGAACCAGAACACCTGAAAAGCTGGGGGTGCCGTCCGGTTGTGGAGGGTTTTGAGGCTTCGAACTTTGATTGAAGCGATGGACACCTCCCAAGTCCCCTGTTTGAGTCATGTATGCCGCAGCCGTTTGAGCCTCGAAACTGAGATTTTGAAGGGAAGTTTTGAGTTGGCATCACACACATGACAGAACTCGGCTTTTCCAGCATCCAGGCAATTTGGACTCCAGGAGGCATGTAGTTTGTCAGGAGGCATGTAGTAGTGAAGTGCCGGGCCACTTGCAGATTGACCACAGACCATATGTTAACGCCATGTGCTGGAGCTTGGAGGTAAGCCTCGGCACCTCGATTTGCAGCCTTCTGGTCTCCATCTTTCTTTTACAAGGATGGCAGCCGGTGCGTTTCCGTTTCTATGGCGGATGCTTGCTGGGTCTATGTAGCATGCAGTGGGCCGAGGCCTTCTTGTGGTATCACGGAGATCTCGTGGAGTCCTGCCAAGTCGGTGGTGCAAACCGCTTTGGGACACAGATCCTAGTGCCCTTGGCCTTGATTTTGCAGCCTTTGGGCCCTTTCTTTTCAGCACGTCTTTTTCTACCTCAACGGGCCTTGCCCATGTGCTATGCAGCCCCACCCTTGCTGTGGTTTGGAGGACTTTGCTTCAAGTATTTGGTCTTTGGTGATGCTTGGATGCATACTGTCCCAGCTCCGGAGCGGGGACCCGTGATACTTTCTCGTAAGTTTGGACTGACTACACCAGCGATGAGGGATGAGTGAGGATTCATCTTAAAGCATCATGTGTTTTAAAGTTTGGGGGGAAGATTGGGCCTGTGGCTGAGGACAGATATCCCAACGCATGGCTCTTTTGTGAAGTCCTGTGCACCCACATCTCTCCCATGGGCTATTTGGTGTGGTATGCCAGACACTGCGAGGAGTAAACATGTGCGGAAATCTTTTGCCCTCCCTGAAGCCACGATAGGACATGTTTGTTTGCAGGATCACTTTAATTGGGTGGCCACCGCTTCCAGAAGCAAAATTGTCTTTCTGCTGGAGCTCATTTTTTGGATCCTTTTCGGCCCAAGGTTGACCCTGCAACAAAATGCAACCAAGGAAATAGCGCTCCTTACAAGATCCTTGCTTTAAGGAAGTTCTTTGAAGTGACGCACACGACCTTTGAGGCTTGGCAGATGATACTGTGGTGTGCATATATCTCAGCACCAGTGCTGAAAGCCATGAGACCGTTGTTGAAAGCACTCTTCGCATGTGCCTGGGGCTTGGCGTGCTGCTTGTTGTCAATGACGATCACCGATTCTCCTCCCAGCAATTGGTGCATTTACATCGTCTCCTACAACATCATCGCTCTGATCGAGTACGCCTTGGTGCAAGCTGGGCTGGTCTCCGGCGAGGAGTCCGACGAGAGTGAGGATGAGTCAGAGACAGAGACTGATGAGGAGGAGGGCCTGAAGACAAGTGCAAATAAGATTTCAGGCTGGGGCATCTAGGAACAAGAAGCTACTAGGGGCTCCTGGCCTTACTACTAGGAGCAAGGACGCTACCAGGGCCTCCTGGCATCGCTACTAGGAGCAAGGACGCTACTAGGCTGAGGCATCTAGCTCCAAAATGTTCATGAGACAGAGATGGGCAAAGGCCCATATTTAGATGACATCAGGGAGGTGAGAACAGCAAAACGGAAGAAACCTCCAGCGAGCCAGCCAACAGACTATTGGAACTCCACGGCATGAAGCTAGAATAGCCACATACAGTAACAGCCGCCCAAGACTGGTGGATTGGATTGGTTGTTGTTTGGAGCTGCCGCGCTATCTTGTCTAGGACAACATGTGCCAGCGGCAAAGATCAGCAGATCAACTTCCAAGTCATCTTTCCTGTGCACATGTTTGTAGTTGTGGAAAGATTGATGCTAAAGTTGAAGATTGATGCCAGAATAGGAGGGAGCCGTGAGAAGCAATGCATACAGACCTGTGGAAGGACACCGAAAGTTGTGACAAGATGTAGCAAGGATCGCATGTGTCCATTGAGCCTTCAGATTTACAAAGACAAACAGACAGAACGCACATCCAACGCTTGCTCCAGCTCATGGCTCATGGTCGAACCCAGCGCCCTCCAGTGTGGCCCGGCGCTACAACTGGGCTTCACTTTTGTGGCGGCCCGGCGTCATCGCCGATGCCATTCTGCACTGTTTCGGCGATTTGAAGCTTTGCAAGAGCTTCCTGGGATTCCAAGCGCACTTTTTTTGCGGTATATAGTTTTGTGCATGTTGATTCTTTTTGTTTGACTACCGAACCTATGAGTATACATATATATATATATATACACGTAAAAGCCGCTGGGCCCAAACGCCCTCAGGCTCGGGCAATCGGGGTGCCCCGGGCTGGCTGGACACGCGAGTGTCGACCAGCGTCCACGAGGCCAGGTCACTCCCTGGCTCCCCTCGCCTTTGTGACCTGGTGTTCCCGTGGTTCCTCGCTGTCCTGGTGCCATGGCTCTTGATGATGTGCTGTCGCTGGTGGACCAGGTGCTGCCTGGCGACTTTGGCTCTAAGGTCCGCTCGCTCCTTGCTGAGGTGCACGCTGCTCCCTTTCCTTTGATGTTTGGAGGCAGTGCTTGTATCGCTGGAGAAGTGCTTCATGCTGGAAGTGATGGTATTGAGTTGGCTCCCCTTGCCTTCCATCCTGGACGTGGATTCGAGAAGTCTGCAAGCGTTCCACCTGCGGTTTGGGTCCATGTTCCTAACCTCAGCTCACGGTCCATTTCAGTTGCTGCTGGCGTACAATTGATGTGTTTTGGTCCCCTCAACTCGGACTCCAAGGTTCCGATCTTCAGGTTCGAAGACCATTGCACGGTGCATTTTAGGCCCGACTTTGATGCCACCTTCGCCTGGGACTGTACACACATGTTCAGTGGCTCTTTCTGCGGTTGGCACCAGGCTGTGGAGTGGATTCCCAATGCGGGCATTGGTTTCCTCCCTGGCAGACAGATCTTCATCGACAATGATGCTACTACCATGGGGGTTTGCGCCACTCAAAACAACATGAAGGTCTTGACGTGCCCGCTGGATCCTCTGGCTCCGTGGAACCCCTCAACGAAGCTTGGGGTTATCGGTGACATTGCTGATCGTACGATCCCTTACATCCACCGATCGCAGCTCAATCTTTTGTGCACCTTATCCCCACCATGTCAAACATGGTCGCGCGGTGGCAGAGCGGGTGGTTTGTCTGAAACCAATGGTTGGAGCTTTGTTGAAGGGTTGAAGCAGATTTTCGTCTTGCAACCCATTCTGGCATTTGCGGAATGTGCAGATGAAATTCGGAACCATTGCCATTTTCCGATTGTACAGCACATTGCACTAGCCTTTGGGTATAAGACCCTGTGGACACAGGTCATGCCTTTCCACGAGCTGAGCCATCATCACAGGACTCGCTGGTTGTGTATTTGGATTCGCTTCGACATCCCGGCCCAGCCGCTTGGCTTTGAACTCCCATGCTCAATCACTCCGCGTTTGGCCTGGAATAATGAGTGTTACAAATTCACACTTCCAGCGGTGTGGCAGAACCAAATCCGCCTGAGTCCTTCCGAAGCCAAGATCTATAACGATCCAAGTTTGCTGCCACCTGCCAAGCGCCTTCGCATGTGCACCGAGCCGCAACCTGAGGCTGGACTCCTCATGCGAGTTCCGAACCCAGCTGAACCCTTGGCAACATTATGCGCATCCTACAGTGCGCAGCACTTGCTGTCAGTTGACCATGTTTCTCAAAAAGGCATTTTCGCCTTCCTGCAACAAGTAAGCGATGGGTTCGCTTTCTTCGACCCAGCACATTTTTGCTCGCTTTTCGAAGCCATCACATGCATCGTCATGCCTAGCAAGCTGTCTCTTGCCTTTAAAGTCATTGGCAATGCAATCACGGTCCCTCAAAGCATCATATGCCTTTGTGTAGGGTTACATGCAGTCCTGCCAGAGCCTGTCGACCCAATTGCCATTATGCGCCTTGCTTGGGAACACCGGCTCACGGCCCGCAATGCCATCCTTTTCGAGCATGGTCCATTTGTCTACATGTGTCCCTTTGTGCAGGTCCCTCAATGGCTGTCTACTAAGGTCATCCAAGATCATCATCATGGTGAATGGCAAGTTCATTTCTGCCTCGATGCTGGACATGGCACCGCTACTACCAGGGCTACAACCACGGATGTATTTCGTGAGGTGCTGCACAGACTGGTTGATGCACCCTGCAGTCTCCTTGAACAATGCAAACTCAAGTGCCGCTTGTGTGAAAGGACTTTGGCTGTCACTATTCAAGAGATCTCGGCAATCGATGAGCACTGGCAGCTCGTTATTTGTGACTCCCATTTGGGCTCGTGCTCATTTCAGCTTCAACCCCAAGGTGCGCTTGAGCCCTGTGATGCCTCGAGTGGATTTTCACCTACCTTGGCCATGACTGAGCACGAGGGTAACATCGTCGAGCTCCCTATGCCTGGAGTTTTGGCTGATTTTTGTGCAGTTGACCTTTTCAGCTCTGTGCTTGAGTGCATTAAAGCTGCTGGATTTGATCACATGCAACTTGGTCTCATGCTTCATCTCGTCCACCACCAGCTACCCGGAGCACTCTCTTGTGTCACATCTCCCCTTCAAGCTGAGCATTTGGTCACCCTTCTACGGCTGCGATTGGTCCAAGGAGAGACTTTGGCCATCACTTCCACTTTTGATGCCTGCCATCCCAAAGCAAGAGTCTCCAAGTTCATCCATATCTTCAAAGCCTCAGATGACCCGCTCCAGATCGCTGTTGCGGTTGTTCTCCCAGGTCATTCCATCGTTGCTCATGTGATGTTGCATGCTCGACCTGGGGCACTTCCAGGATTCACGCTTCATGGCCTCCATTATTATGTCCATCAGATCAATGGTATTCCTGCTGCGCAGCACACTGGACCGTTGATGAATGGCACTCTACTTCACCTCGAGCGCTCCAACGAGATTAGAGCTGGCGGTCATCACTTGGCTTCTGGTGCCACTCCCACTCTCGATGCTGGAGCGGACTTTTCCGCGCGGGCCGAGTATATGTGCATCACTCATGGGTGGATTGCTGCTGATGAGCTCTGGAGCATCACGCAGAACATCATGTTCATGCAAGACCAAGCGAGGTTCACTGCTCCGGTTTATTGGGATCAACGTGATGGAGAATTCACTCTTTCCCCATTTGGAGGAATTGTGCTTTTCAACAACACCATCAATGTGATCTGCGTCCTTGTTGATGACCATTGGGCTGCCATCGAGATACACAGACGGGGTGATTCTGCACATTTGACCTTTGTTCAGATGCCTTTGCATCTCCACACTGCGGCCACCTTTGTCGTTGCGAGGTTGCTCGATCTTGCTCCGCATCGGCTCACTGCTTCCAGTGTCCATGACCAACACCTGCCGCACCTGTGTGGATGGAGGCTAGTGCAACGCTGGATTATGTGGTTTGAGCTTGAAGACCAGTTCCAGGATGAGGCTTTCCATGGCGTTGCTGATCACTTCCGTGACATCATCAACCTCACCCTTGAGTGCTCAGTTGAAGACTGGGGAACCTACATGGCGCCTCCTCCTTTGGTTGAGTTGGCATCCAAGCTTCGGAAGAAGTTCCTTATCTTCTTGGCAAGACGTGAAACACGGCAAGAACCTGTCCCGCAGAAACCGCTGGTTGCCGCCTTCCCAGTTCGGTTGCGACCTTTGTCTTCTGCCGCCCCGGCCCCGCCATTGACCCCAGCAGAGATTGCCAGCCGCCGCATCGAGGCTAGGCTGCAGCACATGCTGCGCTACAGTGGCTGGATGGCTACTGACGAAATGGACTTTTCTCTGGATGCAGCTCGTATTATCCAGCCAGGTACCCTATTCTGCGCTCCTGCAGTATGGAACCTTACAACAAGGTCCTTGGATTTTCCCAACAATCTATTGCCAGAGTATGGAACGCACACGCACATCATTTGGTTCATCATCCACAACAATCACTGGCTACAGTTTGAATGCTACAAGCAAGGTGATCGTTCACGATTCATTGCCTCTGTTCCCATCCACCAGCGAGGAATCTATGTGCCTCTCATTCAGCTCCTTCTGGATGACATTGGCTTGGATCACTCAACTATCGCCATTGACTTTGTGGACCAGACTATGCCACGTGATCTCTGCGGCTATTATCTGCTGGCCAACATCTTCTACAGGCTTGGGCTCCATGCACCTCCTCCACTTGATGTGCATGATCAGCTTCTGTCCCAAGGTTGCCATGGAAGACTCATTGACCGTGTCAGGCACGAGGCTAGAAGCACTTGGATGAGAGCCGAGGGCCTTCCGGACTTCGTTATTTTTGCCGCAAATATTCGTGACTGGTTCCTGCTCAGGGTGCAAACCAACCGTTTTCCTGATCATGTGCTTGCAGCTGGTGCCATTGATGTGGCCATGGATCCTGCACAACAAGGAACAAATCACTCCAGCGCTGCTACCGCTCCTCCACCTTCGGGCAAGCCTGCTTCCTCGGCAACGGCCACCAAAGGAGTTGACCCAGTGTGGGTGAATGATCCATGGAATCAGAAACCGGCTCGTCCCAATCAGTGCAAATGGGAGGACTTGCGCATCCAGCCTGAGGTGCCGTTTCTCGGTACAGACGGGAGGGCCTTGCAACAAACACATAGACTTCAACTTGCACCCAACAGGGGCGGCATTGTCCTTCTAACCAAGGCTTTCATTGCGGACGCCGCCAAACAAGCCGGCAAGCAAGACCTTGCCCTTCTTTTGCCGGTCACCGACCACATGCACTTGCCGCATCTTGCGAACAAGCTCGAGGGACCGTTCGAAGTGGCCATGATTGATGAGGTCGCGAAGATCACATACAAGAGATTAGTCCACCTCCTCGTCATCTATGGCAAGTGCACCTTTAAGCTTCCGGAACCAAAGTGCAAGATCACTACTGCTGCTATGTGTGAGCTTGTCCTCGAGGTGGATTCCCGACTGTGCCTGAAAAATGACTACGACAAGATCCGCGACAGCCCCATTGCAATGTTCCGAGACATGGTCAGCCAGATTGTCACCATTGACACCTCTGCTGTCCTTTATGGATTTCGGATCACGCACCACCCTGGAGCTACTAAGGGGGACAGCATCTTGCAGTGCATCATCAAAGCACCACAACCTCTGAGATGCCCGCTGCTCGAGGCTAGCGGACAATCGGTGCTCCTGATCCGGGATTTCCTGGAACGTGGTCAATCTACTACCGACACGTCGGTGCTGCCTCGGTTCTGGGCTCCCTCTCCCACCGAGCTTCACAGCATGCGCGTCGCCCTGAAGGATGCACCAGGACAAGCTGGGATCATTCTGGCTCGCCGGGGCCTTGCCCCTAGAGTGTGGACAGCCAAGATTGTTGAAGCCAGGAAAACTCTGCTAGCTGCTGATGGGCGCATCGTTGACGCCAATCGTCATGTCATCCCACGGCTCTCCTATGAGCTAGCTGGCTGGCCGGCAGGTACAGATGCGGCAAACATCGTGCAGTCCACGCTTGACACCACTGGCACAGCAGTACTGCCCTTGCGAACTTTTCGCAACGCAGGAGTCCACACATGGATTGTCGCCACAGAGAAGGAGTTCACTGTCTCGCAGTTCTCCATCGAAATCAACGGTCAGGTGCACCAGATTATCATCCAACTCCTTGACCACTCAGGGGCCACCAAAGGAGCTGGAAAAGGGAGTGGGAAGAATGCATCCAAGAACAAGAAGAAGCCTACACCTCCTGAGCCTGCGCCATGGACTGCTGTCAACCTGACCAACACGGCCCCTGCTGACTCCAGTCGGCTTGACTCTCTGGAAGCCAGGTTCGATCGTTTGGAGCAGAGACAGACCCACTTTGAGGGCAAGGTTGATTCCAAGTTCGACAGCATCAGTGATGCATTGAGGCAGCTGCTCGCGAACACCAACCCGCGAGCGCGGGAAGCCAGCGGTGAGACGCCACCTCCAAAACAGCACAAGGGGTCGTGACTCCTTGATGCAGGGCTGATCCATGTGATGCTTGGATTTCGCCTTCGTTCCCTAGGCCCGCGTTGGATTTTTGGGCCTGTGGTCTTTCGTTTTCTCCTTGTCTCTTCGCTTTCTCTCGTTGTTTGGCTCGCTTTGTCGCATCCTTGGCTCTGCCCTGCTTTGCTCTTTCTCCAGGGGATTGCATTCTCTTTCCGAGCATGCCTTTTGGATTCAAAGGCTCGACGCAAGTGCTCGCACTTCGTGGGGACGACATGTGCCCCTTTTCGGCCCTTGTTCCTGTTAACGTTTCTTCAGTGGATTTTCGCTTTCGCTTGCCTGTCTTCGTGGTCCTCATGCCCTTTCTCGAGGCATGACCTGTGTCCTTTTTATGTACGATGCGAATTCCATTTTCAATTCAATTGTGGAAGCAAACTGAGCTGGAACCTCCCAGCTCGCGATTTTGTGCCTGTGAAAATAATTGCTGCCTGTGCCAGCCCGTCTTTCGATCGGCTCGAATTCGATCACACATTAGGCTTTCCGGGTGAAGGCCCCGGTAATATGACCCTGTGGTCTGCGAACATAGGATCTTTCCGAACCAATGCAGGGTGGAAGTCTTGGTCAGCCGACGTGTGCTGCCTGCAAGAGACACGTATTGGGAAGACTAACCTTCGCTCGTGTTGCCTTGATGTCAAATCTAAAGGCCTCCGCTTAACCACTAGTGAACCCCTTGCTGTCAAGTGGCATGCCGCTGGGTCCATCACACCGTGTGGGGGTACGGCAATCATTGCTTCGGAATCCTTGATTCAACCCTTTGACCCGGCATGTGATCAAACTGGTCTCTATGTTGGTCTCTACCGCACCCAACGACTGAATGCCGCTTGGATCCAAGTCAAACCAAGGACGCGAGCGCTGGTTATCTCCGTATATGCTACCACAGGGGCTTCTCAAGACCCTCACATTCATGCACGAAACGATGAACTGTTTTCTCAGATTTTCGCTTTGGTTTCGCAGTTTGGTCAGATTCCAGTTATCATTGCTGGGGACCTTCAAGCTGACCCCATGAGTTACCCGTCAATTGCCAATGCTGTCAGTTTTCACAATTGGCACGACCCTATTGCTGGTGTCGATCACGAAGGGTTCTCGACTCGGCCCCTTACTTTTTCGCGTGACGGGGCCTTTTCCGGTGCAGATGACGCCACATCCTCAATTGATGCGATTCTGCTTAACCAAACCGCGTTCTTTGCCCTGGAATCAGCGGAAGTTGTTCCTCTTATTGGTAAACAACATCGACCTTTGAAGTGTGTCTTCAGGTGGGAAGCCATTGATCTTGTTGGATTCATCCATCTTAAAAGTGCCCCTTTTCAGGTCGAAACACTCGAAAAGGCTCATAAAGATGATGACTCCCCCTCTCTTTGGGACCGTTTTGAGCAGCGGTATCATGATGCCTCCGATTCGGACACCAAGTGGGATGTTGTCAATGACTTTCTGATTCATTCGCTTCTCCACAGAGGTGCCACCTGGGGGAATGGTCCACGTTCCAGAGGTCATGCACCGGTTTTTGTTGCAAAGAAGATTGCACCTGCACAACATCGTTCGGGGTGCGCTGCCACCAAGAGGTCCACCAAACTGTTTAAACTCCTTGGCCGGCTTAACGAATTGTTTTGCCGATTGTCCCGTTCCCCGGGGGGACTCCAAGATCAGTTCGATACTCGCCAGACTGCTTTCAAAGCTTTTCGTACCCTCCAAGATCTTGAAGCCCCTTTCTGTTGGTCTGTTCCCACTCAACCAACGCTGACTGATGTTTTCATTGCCAAGCAGTGGACCGAATCTGCTGCCAAACTTCTTGATGCTCAAATCCGCCACAGTCGGATCAAGAGGTGGAAACAGAAGATCTCACAATCTGCACAAACCAACTGTCAGTACATCTACCAGCACCTTAAGAATCGTGCACAAGATGAGCCCCCTAATCTTGTTGTTGATCATGACGGACACATAGTGTATCAGCCTGACCAGGCTCTTGATCACATCAATGATGCTTGGGACACGATCTTTTCTGCTAACATCCTTTGTGAGCAGCCTTGTAAGGTTCTTGCCACTGTTTGGCCACAGATCCAAGACAAGTCTGCACAGTTGGATTTGCCAGATGTCACGAGCCGACAGCTTTTTGAGACTATTCAACGCCGGAAGATTGCTGCTGCACCTGGTTTTGATGGCTGGAGGACTTGCGAGCTTCAGGCTCTCCCAGTCGCATGCTTTGAACCAATAGCAATGTTTTTCACGTTTATTGAACAGAGTGATCAACCCCTACCGAAAGCACTTGTCTGCGCCAAGCAGTGTATTCTCAACAAGAAAGGGCCTGCTTCGGCCCTCAATAAGAGATTAATCACTGTCTTGCCGGCGTTGTTGCTGGCATACACGGGTAGTCGGTACAGACAAACTCAGGACTGGCAGAGACAAATTCTCCCACCTGCAATCCTTGGTGGCGTGCGTGACCGTTACATGGCATCTCTCTACAATGAGGTGCGCCTGCAGATTGATGTTGCACAAGTTTCTTCAGAGCCCATCATTGGTGTTAAGTTGGATAAATCAAAAGCATTTGATCGTATTGTTCCGGCTTTTGTTGCCATCCTGCTTCTCGCTTTTGGGGCCCCGAAGCACTTTGTCAACTTTTTTCTTAAAATCTATCAAGGGTTGCACCGGCATCTCACCTATCGTGGGTGGGCTCGTCCGACGGCCACAACAGCCTCCAATGGAGTAGCGCAGGGTTGCAGTTTGTCTCTTCTTGCAATGAACATGTACAACAAAGTCTGGTATCATTTGCTTGAGCACTTGCCGTCTTTGTCCGCTCGCGCGTTTGTTGATGATTCTTACATTTGGTGCAAACTCATCAACTTAAGTGCACTTGATGAGGCCCTTCGCATCACAGAACTATGGGATCAGTTGGTTGGACAACTTTTCAACCCCGCCAAGTCTGCCATGTGGTCTTCACATGCCAAAGGTCGGGTTGCTCTGAAAGCCTCCTTTCCCCTGTTCCCAATTGAACTTGAGTTTGAGGTGCTTGGAACCCAGATGTATACCAGCCATCGCAGAGCTTTTCACTTTGACCCTGCACGGTTCAAAAGGATCATCGCAGATATTGCCCACATTGGCGCCTTGGCAATCCCTATGCGTGTAAAAAATTTGCTGATTGGGTCTAAAGCGATTGCTAGGCTGACGTTTGGGACGCACATTTCCCAGGTTCCCAAGAAAGAGATGTCTCAAATGCAGAGCGCGGTTATCCGTGCCCTTTGGGCAGGTAAACCAAAATGGAGGGCCAAGTGGCTAGTTCAAGCCATTCTAGGGCAACCCCATCGCACAGACCCGGTCATTGCTTGTGCTGTTGCAACGATCCAAGAGTTTGTACGCTGTTGTCAACGGAGCCCACACATGCTCCCATTGCTTCACTCCACCTTCGAGGCCTCCCACAACCTACCACATTCCCTGTGGTCTCGGGTCCGTGCTGCGTGTGAAGTTTTGCATGTCGATATCACCGCTGATGTTGAACTGTCATTTCGTGGGTCCCCCGGGTTGTGCCTGCGATACCTCCAACCCCGTGAGATTAGACCCCTCCTCAAACAACTTGCCAGGCAAGCTGCATATGAGAGTGTTGATTTTCGTACAAGGAAAGATTTTGCTAAGCCACAAGGTCTCCTTAACCATTGGAGCACTACTGCCCTGCTTCGCTCGCAATATAAGGAGAACCTTAATGACATTCCAATCCAGCTTCGTTTTCAGTCCACGGTGGTAGGCTGTGTGCTTACTAATGATCGCCTTGCTGCCGCAGGATGGTCACAATCAAGCCTGTGCCGTTTCTGCCACCAAGCTAAGGAATGCCTGGAGCATTTGGTGCACGATTGCAAACCTCTCCATGAAATCCTTGGTCCACCTGTTTTGCATGAGCTTGGGAGCAACTTTGGCCTTATGGGTATTGTTGAGCAGCCCTTCTTCCTTGCCCGTCGCAGGCTTGTACTTACTAGAGCTCCAACTGCCTTTCCGGCCTTCGACCCATCCTGCAACTCTGAACTTTGGACAGATGGTTCTGTCCTTTGGAGTGAGCGGTTCTGGATTACTACTGCAACGTTTGCTGTGGTTGGCCCTGACCTGCAAGTGGTTGCCAAAGGCTTGGTGAGTTACCCTTGCCTCAATTCCTATGTTGCCGAACTGTGGGGCCTCCTTCAAGCGTGCCTCCACAGCAAGCATTGTGTACAGATTTTCTGCGACTGCAAAAGTGTTGTTGAACATGCTCACCAGGTTTTTGTGACTGGAATCGCGGATGAGAGCTGGCTATGCCAAGACTGGTGGAGATTTTTGGCTAACCTTACACTCTACCGACAACAGCAGCATCCTCAGCCTTTTGCGGTGCAGTGGATTCCGGCCCACTGCTTTGAGCAGCTTCCTATTGAGGCTATATCTGATCAAATGGCTCAATCACGCCATACCTCGGTACGACACATTGAACAAAATCGCAAAGCTGACCTTGTTGCTAAAGAATATGCAACAGCGCTGTCACCGGTCCGTGTTAATGTACAACATGAAGCTGAACGATGCATTTTAGCACACCAGCGTTGGCTTGCGCAACTTCATGCTCTCCTCCCTACTGATGCCGACCATTGTTCTGAGGAAGCCAGTGGCGCCCCGGAGGAACTTGACCGAGAGGCATGCTGTAAGCTGTTCCCTCACTGGCCATGGCGCAGTGTTGCTGCTCAGTTTCCATGGAAGCCGAAGATCCCAACTGGCTACGCACAGCCAACTAACTGGATTGGTACCTTGGCTGAGTGGGAAGTTGTTTGTAGGTTTCTTCGCTCGCTGCGTTGGAAGATTGATGACGAAGCTGTCACGTCAATCGCTGAGCTCACGGTGCTTTTCCATCGAGGAGGTTGGAAGTTTGAATGTGATCCCCAACTTGTTACATATTTTGACCTTCATGCCCGCCTTCGCAAAGCGATTGGCATTTTTGCTAGGTGTGATGATGCACAGGCCTTTCCAGGCACTCTTTATCCCGCCCTTGCCAAGGCGGCAGGGAAAACCTTGCCGCAGGGGTCCATCAAGGGAGCGGCCGTGTTGATTGATGACGTGGCCCTTCTGCAACTGGCCCGTCTATTTGCTTTTGGTGCAGGCCGAACGCTTGCATCATGGAAGATTCCGGTCTTGTAGTTTGCTTCCCGTGCATGTCTGGAGCTTCTGCTCCCCCTTCTTTCAGCTTGGGGTTCTGTAGTGTCTAGGTCAGCGGCCTGGCACCTGACCGGCCATGCTTTTCCGCGTGGAGTCCGGTTGCGCTTGGTGATATATACACGTAAAATATGCCTAAGCTGTCTCATTGCATGTTGGACCATGGCCACTGTAAAGGCGAGTCGTTTTCAGCCTGTGATACCTGCCCTGACCGTTCAGTATGGAAAAAGGACCGATAAAATGGTACAATGACTTCTGCACTATTGCACCCGTCCCTCTTCATGGCCTAGGCTTCAACATCCCAACCTGGCGCGTTACTTGGACCTCTTGGTTGGTCGTGACAGTGTTGTTTTCATCGCCAGTGAGCACAGCTCTTTGTCGCTGGGCACGGTGCTCGCAGCCCATCCCACAGGTTTTGTGGAGGAAAAATCACTTCGCATCGTTTCTCAGTTGCTGCGGGCCTTGTGCCACTTGAATAGCCGGGGTTTGGTGCATGGGCGGCTGGAGGCATGGATTTGCAGTGGTGTCATTTTCTTGGTGCTCGTGTGTGAGAGTTTGATGAGTTCTGGAAGTTTGAGAGCCAAGTAGAACACGAGGCAAAATGAGCTTTTGGACGTGTTTACTGGATGACTCGTCATGACTTTTGCATGTTTGTTTCTTTTGTTTCAGCTTGCACACCAAGGATTCCAACTCTGTGGTCTTCAAAGAGGCACTGAAGGAGCAGAGTGATGAGATTCTGTTGACAGGTGGGGTTCTGTTCAGGCATTTGGACGGAGCGCGGACGACGGGATTTTGGTTGGTGTTTGCCTCCCAGCCAAGCACTGGGCTTACCGGATGCCGTTAATGTTGAATCCAAATTAGTATAATGGGACGGAATAATAAAAAGTTTTCGCCAAATTATTCACACACCCTGATTAGTTCGATGGGTCGGAACAATAAAACTGTTTTTTCTCCCAGTGTTTTGTTTTTAAGGTTTGTTTGTGTTTCTATTGTTCTGCTATTGCTCACCCTTTAACTTCCTTACTTAACTCTCCTGAGGTTTGCTTGATTCATAGAATTCTGACCTGAAAGTCATGTTCAAAAACGCTTATTAAAACTCAACGATTTCATCGCTCCAAACACTTTTTCAAGGGGGTAGTACACCAGCCCAGCAGGGTAAGTGAATAATACGAATTGTTTAGGGGGTGGGATTAATATGCAAACTTGGAGCCCCAAGGGAACATATTCTAACTTTATTATTGTTCTGCTATTGCTGCCCTTTGAAATCCTTACTTAACTCTTCTGAGGTCACGAAAGGGTAGCCCTTTAGGGATACCTTGAGTTTGTCTTGGGACGTCCGGGTCTAATAATTGATCACTCAATTCAAACCCCCCCCTCGAATTGATTTCTCAATACAGACCCCCCCCCGCCCCCTTGGAATTGATTTTTCAATACAGACCCCCCCCCTCTAAATTCAATTCTCTCCTGGAGAACGTCTTCGTGAGCCTATCATGATTTCAGGATAGTTGAAACCCTCTTGAACATTCAGAAAGAGTGCATATGAAATTCTAATCGCGAAAGGTGTTCCCCGAGGGGATACATACCTACAGTTTGTTTTGTGAAGCACGTCAATTCTCTCCTGGGGAGCGTCTTCGTGAGCCTCTTATGGTTTCAGGATAGTTCAAACCCTATGATGCTCCGATTCAATGCTCACCGATGATCTGATCCATGGGGCAAGTTTGTTTTCCTAAGAATATTTTTGAACATTTCGAGAGCATATGTTTGAACATTCAGAGTGCATATGAACATATATTTACGAAAGGTCGCCTCCGAGGGGATAAATCACCATGTCGAACATTGCATTTTTTTGTTCTTGCCTCTCGCGTTCTCTTCTCTTCCCGCTGTCCTACCTTTCGTGTCTCCCTCCTCTCAAGTTTGATTCATGGAATTCTAACCTGGAAATCGTTTTCAAAAACGCTTATTAAAACTCAACGATTTCATTGCTCCAAACAATTTGTCAAGGGGGTAGTACATCAGCCCAGGGTAAGTGAATGATACGAATTGTTTAGGGGGTGGGATTAATATGCAATCTTGGGGCCCTAAGGGAAAAATCTAACTGTATTATTGTTCTAATTGTTATATATATATATATATTGTTTTGCTACTGCTGCCCTTTCCAACCTTGGTTATCTCTTGTACGACGACCTACTACTACTACTACTACCACCACTACCACCACTACTACCACTACTACCACTACGACTACTACTGCTACTACTACTCCTACTCCTACCACTACCACTACTACTACTACTACTACTGCTACTACTACTACTTCTTCTTTTGGGTGGCGGGGTTACTCTTCAGAACCTTTGAATTGTTTGCTAGGGAGGGGGGGCCTTACTAATTAGGATCGAACATTACCCTCCAACCACAGCTAGGGTACTGTATATTATTGTCTTTGTATATTTATTTAAATATATATATATATATCTGCGGATGCGAATCAATGATTGCACTTGTTGCTGGCTCCATAGACCAGTCGCACAGACCAATCTGAGTAACCAGCCTTTTGCTTTTGGACAGGTGGTCCGGGTGAGTCAGCAAGTGGTTCAGCGGTATACAGCTTATACCGTATACTTCCTCCTTTTCTATATAATATAGTATGTTACCCGGTGTGTTTCTCCCAGACCGAAGGGAAAGGAGTTGGGAAGGGAAAGCAGATGCACTTTTCAGGTCATGGCATGGGACATCTTCTGGGCGGGTCTGACCTGTCTGGAATGCAACCTCTGACCTGGAGCCCTTTGACACCTGCTGACCCCTGTTGCTTGTCACCTGAAGTGGCGGGCGAACACCTCAAACAGGCGAGCTGCCAACCAGACGTGCCGCTCGATAGCATGTCTTCAGCTGGGTGTTGTGAGGGTGCACAGACTTTTGTTTTGTGTTTGTTTGGTGGGGTCAGTGGGGTCGGGGTACCAGGGATTTGGCAGAGTTGCTGCGTGCCGAACTGGCGGTGAGGCGAAGTGCAGCCAAGAGTAAGACAGGTGTGAATGGGGCCCATCGAGTATTTCGCAATGGCTACTACTAGTAATGCCCTTTGCTACTAGTAGCTTCTTGCTCCTAGTAGCGATGCACTTTGTTACTACACGGAGTGTCTAGCATGGTCCAAGCGCTTCGGTTTGACTCCTTCGGATGCCCAATGGTCCCACATGATATATATAATATATAGTCTCACAATGCCAGCCCCAAAGCCCCAGCGCAAGACGCAATAGCTCAGAATGCTAAGTTCAAGGTGTGGTAGATCCCAGAGGTCGTGGTAAGGCGGTTGACAGCTGAACTATGAAGAATCATCATCTGAGAAAATCCGAGTGGCCTGGCCTCAACATCTGCAAGGAGCGAATTGAAGTGCCCTCTTTCAAACGTTCATGTCTTAGGTGGAGCTTGGGGATTGTGCTGCTGCAGATGCTGCAGGGTCCCTGGTCCCACCTCCTCTCGGAAGCGCCTTCCGAGCGACGGAGGGGTGGCCTTGTGGCGGCAGAGACCGCGGCGGAGCTGTGGCGCTTTGCCAACTCCAGCGTGAGCCGCTGGTTTGAGCAGAGGAACAGGAAGTGTCCACAGGGCAACCACATCGTGTCTGGAAGCCTTTGAAAACCATTCCGGTTTTTGGCTTGCTTTAGAATCTTGAAGTGTCAAGAAGGTGTGGAATCCAACGGTGAGATTATGCTTTAGTTTGGGGAATTCGTCTCCGCAGTATTTGCCAGCTGCCAGCTTTGGCCCGTGCATGGGACAAGACAGGCTCTCGATAGCTGGCAGCCTAGGCACAGCAAATCCTGGCCTTACGCTACCAGTTGTGTTAAACTGGGCCGACATGGGCGACGGATCAGCTGGATCGGCGTTGCCAATTCCACAAAGTTTGCAGATGATGAACGACGCTTCGATCATTGATGCTTATCTTGAGTTGCTTCAGTTGAATGGTCTGATTGATGTCAGGGAGCCTTATTTGGTAACTGAAGCAGCGCTAGATTGCGGAGCCATTCTCTTATCATCCTTTATTCCTTCTGTTACTCTGCACAAGTTGATTCTTAGGGGCAGAACTGGCCGCCAAGGAACTGCAAGGATCCTACCGGCAATGGCTTAAGGGCGAAGGCCTTTGTCACTTGGCAACCAGAGAGTCAAATCCTGTTATATAGTTCCGGGGGCACGTTTGTTACCTGGTTGCGCATGGTTTGGACATTATATGGCTGTCGGTCCAAAACCCGGAGCCCTGATCCCTGGCAGCTTGACCTCAGTGGTCAACCAGGGGCCATGGCCACAAAGCCCACAATGCATTCGGCGGTTTCATGCTTTTGCAAGAGACCTGGACCCCCCGCGGATCGGGGAAGGTGGAACATGTCTTTCAATCTCCCGTTTGGACTCGGCTCCTGTAACTGGAGCACGTGCTGTTGAATCGCTTCGAGGTAGTGGAGGTTTGGTCAATGACTTCTGGGAAGAGTGTGTGACTTTGCGGCCCTCACAGAGGCCGAGGCCGCAGGATCTCGCCTCTCATGCCTGCATGGCGCAGCCTGATCTTGTGTCAGCCGCAGGCGTGTGGACGGTCCGAGGAGATGCAAACCTTTACAGTCGAGATGATGAGGCACCCCCAGAAGCAGCTTCCCAGCCGCAGAGATACCTGCAAAGTATGGGAATCTCAGCTTGAAGTTTCTGTCCCTGTTTAGCTGTTTGGGACGTTGCTTTGTTCCAGTTGCCCATAGAGATATTGTTCTTTTGTGACTGCTTGATGCGCTCAGGAGTGGACTTGGCTCACCTGAGCTACTGGTGGCACTTGGCGGGTGGAAGCCCCTACCGCGTGGCAGCTGAGCGTTTGCTCTTGCGACCGACGCCGGCCATCTTTCGCTTGCCACTTTTTGTCCTGGACTCCCACGAGGAGGAGGGTCACCGGAGCACGTTTCCACCCACTGCTTAGCAATACATTTTGCAATGTCCCAATCTGCACGGGCTGGCCTGGGATGTATTAATTGACATAATTGAGGCTTCAACTATGCCGACAACCAGTGCATACATAGTAAGTTTCGAAAGCCGATGCCCAGCTGAAATGAAGTTCTCATAAACCACTCCGTACGAGAATGGAGGACACCTTCAGACACAGAACGTGTGTCTTTGTTGCAAGACTTCTTCCATTACTACAGAGCAGGTGGAATTGAACCTAGACTCTAGACATGAACTCCGTGTCCTCTTTTGGGTGGGTGGGTGAGTGGGTGGGTGGGCCCTCGAAGAACCCCCCAAACAGCACCTGTAAGACGAGCCAAACTTCCAGACCCACTCCTGAGGTTCTTGAGTGAGGAGATGACCACAGCCACATCCCGCCCGTCTGCGAAGACGGACGCCACCGGGATGCAGTTTTGGGACCCGCCACCCGAAGCACCACTGGGCTTCTTTTCAGCCACTAGGCTGACATGTGCAGATTGGGCCTTTCGGAACGGTTTGATCTTGATCTTTCTTTGGTGTATCAAATAGTCCTGGTGCGGATCAGGATTTCCGCTAGATTGCAGGCCTCCTGGCCAACAACACAGTCAAGGCCAGAGGTATCCCCAAAGTGAATGGGTTGAAACTGACAACCACTCATACTTGAGCCTCAAGGAGGTTGGGAAGGGGGATGAACCTCCTTCAGCCAGGGTGTGCTTATGTTTGTATATAAACTCAGCGTGATGCAGCATATGTGCATGGTTTGTTTATTGTGTATTTTTTGTTGACTTATAGCACTTTCATATTCCCCGTGCTGGTTCAGCGGTACAGGTTCCCTTGAGCTGTAATATATAGTAGAGGCGGAGTTAGAGGCGGTACAATGCGGTTTTCCGCGGTAGCCGGGTCACTCAAATACGATTGTTGCCGCTTGTGCGGTAAAAAATTGAACAAAGATATTGACCCGTGTCAAAACCCGCCTTTAAACTGAAAGAATCGAAAGTTTTTTTCTGTTGCTTTGTTCTAAACCGTAAAACCCTAAACCCCAGAACCTAGTCCAGAACCTGTGAAACAAACATAAACAAACAATGTTTTACAAACCATGGCAATAGAAACGATGAAACACGTGTCTGTTTATTTTGGTTGTGAAGGATCATGAGTCTGAGTGAGCAACCAAAATGTCACGGCCCCCGCGCTAACAGCGGTAAACATCGAAGTGAATTGTGTTCTGTGTTCCACACATACATACCGTTAAAATCACACATACAGTACATAGAATCACTTCCTTGTTGTGCTTCCTTACAAACAATGTGTGATTACAATGGGCTCCCTGTTGTGTGTTGTAACCCCAAAGCCCCGAGCCACCCGAAACCATGCCACTCGTATTTTTCCAGGTGGACCTCACAGACCTTTGTCAGGGTCTTCATGCCGCCGATCGTGCGAATGCAAAGGACTTGCGACCGGAATCACTTTACGAGACTGGGCCAAGGAACTGGGGAAAAGCATGATAAGTCATGATAGACGATAGTGCACAGGTGTTGGGGGACCAAAGACATTTGCAGAATGAATGGTGGCAAGTTGCGGTAGATGCTTGGTTTTATCACAACATTATCACGACACTGACCTGTTACATCAAGTATGATCAAGCCAATGCTAAATCCGATGGACCGTGGTGGACGCATTTTGCAGAATGTTCAAGTACCCCATACAAGTAGGAGCAATGCAGCACGTAGCTTGCACAAGTACGTAGGGGTTGCAGGTCGTTTTGTCCTCACTGATTTGCTGAGTGATTGGCCACAATTCGAAAAGATATTCTCGCTCCAGTGACCTCAGGAAAGGCATCAGCACTTTGCATACCAATGGCTTCGCGTGAAACAATTTCAACGCTTGCTGGCCGCTTTGACGCACAGACGTGTGGAGCTCTTCCGTGAAGCGAGCGAGGATCTTCCTCCCCTGCTTCGATCGTCCATATGGTCGGCCTTGCTGGGCGGGGCACCTCTGCTGGAATCGGATGAGGCTTGCTGGTCTTTCAGCAGCACGCAGCAGATGTACGCTTTGTTGCCCCAAAAAGTGCTCTTTGGTGTTGTTTCTATATTGGCCTTTGTCCTAAAAGCCAACCTGTGGGGAAGACTGCTGGCTGGGAATAGACAATAGGTTGCCCGAAAGCAGCATGCCATGGCCAAGACATAAGTCGATATGCTGACATGCAGATATGTCACATGGTGTTGTATGCGATCGTGATTTGGGAGACTCTTTCTTTAGTCGCCGTCAGTGGTTTTTGAACCTTGTCCAGCGCCACTTGGATGATTGACAATATTATATATATATATATGCGTGTGTGTGCGTGCAAGCCTGCTTGGCTAAGACCAGAAACTCGGAATTCAGGTAAAACAGGCAGTTCATTACTTCTTTACTCGCCCGTTCTTGGTGGTTTCGCCACCGGCCTCCACCGGCCAGGTCACCCTTCTACGAACACCTTTTGACGACACCGCTTGGAGGAGGTTTCTCGGATGGCCAAGGCGTTGGGAACTATTTGCTTGAAAGGCCGAGCAGCGGTGGCACGGGACGATCTTTTTCGGACGATGAGAGGTGGAAGGTTGCAATGAGAAGCGTGCCGCGCGACCTGGTCAAAGGATTGGGTGGTGGTTGTGGTTCGGAATATGTTTGTGATTGTTTGTGTTTGTCCAATGAAACACTATCTTTTCGGTCGATTTCATTTCACCACAGCCATGGAAGTTTGGGCGAAACCAAGCTGGTTTCTTTTGTCCGTGTGTCATGTGTATTTGGATAAGTTCATGCATTAAATTTAGAGTTCATTTTGTTCAATTTGCTTTGCTCGTGGATTTTTGATTAAAACATGTAATCTTTAGGCACCACCCTGACCATTGGAACCCTCACACGCCTCCTGCTACCTCCCTTAGGCGATAGCTTTGATAGTTCTGACAGCAACCGGCGCTTCGATCGCTTGATTCATGCCCTGCTGGCGGCCAATCCAGATCTCCAACACTCGGAGGGCTTGGGTGCCTTGTGCTGCGTGGTGACCGCTGTTTTCCAACAACGCGAGGAGGCCGCCTTCCTGGCACTGCAACGACGCTCGGATCTGGATAGACTTTGTGCTGGGGCGCTGTTGGGCATCATGTTGGTAGCATCAGGATAGTGAAAGACGTGTTCCTTACCAAACCACGACAAGGTGTTCATCAAAGATTTAGAAGCATTAATTACTAACTGTAACATTTTCGCCCGAATGTCATTTCCGTGGAGATCATTGTCAGTTCAGTTTAAAGTTAAAAAGCAACCCTGATAACCCCACTTCATGTTCCCGTTCCACGAGGTGGTCGCTTGCAAGATACTAGCTGAATATTGATAATTTCTGTGAGTACGCAAAAACTGCTCCCTGAGAGGGCGATGGAGGGCGGGGAGAGAAAGAGAGAGAGAGAGAGAGAGAAATAGCGCGAGGGTGCGTGAGGGATTATTTAGATTTGCACCTCCAATCCCCCGACAGATGGGGCACCTTCATGCACCTTCAATATCCTTCAACCATCCACCTCACACCAACGTGTTTTACCCAACTTCAGGACTCTTGCATGGCTTTCTTTGGCCGCTCTACGGTCCAGATGGCTTGGCCCAGCGCCGCCGCAGCTTACAGATCTTCGGGACGTTGATGAGCTTTGCGGATCCTCAGCGGCTCGGTGTTTGTCTCAGCGGCTCGGGTGGCCGGATTCCAGAGCGGTCCAGAATGGGGATGCCCCGGAGGACCCATGAGATGCCAGGTGGATGTTGAATCCATTGAACTGATTCGTTCTTGATGCTGATGAGGGTGTGCAGAAGATCCGAGAATAGGTGAAGTCACATGATGTTTTTGTCCATTTGAGGAATGAACTATGTCCATGGAGAAGTAATTAAATTACTGGGGCTCCAAGCAAGTTGTGCGCTTGCTTGTCCTTTGGGGCAATGTGAATTACCAAGCCTGTGAGCTGGGTGGCCCGATGGCCCTGTCCCATGTTGGGTCGAAGCTAAGGCTGGCTCTCCACCTGCATGAGCAACTTGGTTGCCTAGAATGAGGACTTGCAGCCACCAAATGCTTGAAGATGGAACGCTAGGGACTCATCAGACGTTCAAACCCTGAAATCAGTCAGGCTTGGAATGCAGCCAGATGCTTATGCAAGTGACTGGCTTTGCACATGGTTTGCGAAACTGCTTCCACTGCCACAAGCTATCCTCTTGTGGGACACGCTGCTTTTGCATCCTCCGCAGTTTCAGCTCTTCGTTGGTTTGTGCCTGGCATCTTTGCGTGGAGATGTGCCGGTCATGTTTGCAGACCAACCCTCCCATGCTCTGTCGCACTTCCTTGACACAAACTCCAAAGAATCCGAAGATATATATATATATATTATCATTATACATCATTAAAATGATTAATATGATATTCTACAATGCAGCTGGATATTTGAGCAACATGGATCAACATGGATTGTTTGACCATTGAACTGTGAAAAAACAACAGCTGATTCTTGAGCGCAAGTCACAAGTCATTTCGATTCACTTCAACCCTGAGGTACATTTCTTCCGGGAGTCCCTGCTCTCATTGAATGAAGCCTCTCAGATCGCGACGTTTCTATCCAGTTGTGCTCAACTGGTGGATATACAGGTCTTAGTCACCGCAGCAAGGGACTTCTTTCAGGCACTTCCGGCCTCTCTTACTTTGCCCGTTTATCCTAGACACTCAGCTGGTGAAGCCTTGCTTTGGGAAGAAGGAGCTGCTCCCATTGCAGCCGACCCCAGCTGGGGCTACTTGAACTCCATGCTCGGTGGACAGCCACAGGAGAAGTCCGAAGCGCAGCAGAAGCTGGCCCAGCATGCGACAGAGCAATGGCGACAATGTGAAGCTTGCATTTGTCTAGTCAAGTGTGTATTTCCCCCGCGGATTAAATTTTGTGTGATATTATCTAATGTTCTATATTATTCTATAGTCCTTACAGGAGAAGAGCAACTCAACTGATTGGAAAACGATGATTTGGCCTGCCCAGAGGGTTCCTCTCAAGCAAGACCCCAGCCTCGAGGAATGGTGGCGCCAGCGCAGCAAGAATGTCTCAACACCGCCGATCATTACAGTGGACGATTTTCTCAGTTATCGCAGTCGTTGCTTTATTCTAGACGTCCGTCCGACAGAGGAGTTCGACAACTGCCATTTCCAATCCAGCCGCCTGATGCGATCGCGATCGTTTCCAGTTTCCGGGAGCCACCAACGAGGTCATAACCAGGTTGAGGTTGAGCACTTGATGCAGTAAGCTGGACTTCCAAACACATGGGAGGTGTGTGTGTGAATATGAAAATGGAGAACCGGATAGACTGGTCTATTTCCCGAATGTTCAAGGGGGGTTTGGCTGGGAAGTGTCCCGATTTCGATACACACCCACATATACCCGCATTACTTGTGAGAAGTATATACCAATTTGTGACACTGGGCCACCTGTGTAAAGGCAGCGGCTGTCCTTTGACGACACGACCAGCGGTGGGTTTGAGCTGGGATGTGTCTCCTTGCTTTAAGCCCATTTGGCTTCTCTCCCATTGTATATAAGTCTGTTGGCTTTCCGCTTTCGGTTGCCTTGATTCAAGTCCAGAATCTGCGGCCTCTCCCAACTTTGCATCCAAGGCATTCACGTCAGTGATCCTGAAGCACCTGATTTGCTGTCCTCGTTGCCTCCTGACTTTGTGTCTCACTGCGGGACACCAAGAGAAGCTCAGGAGGAGCCTGCCTCACCGTGGCTTTTTGCCACCTCACGCTCTTTGGCAGCTTTTATATATAGAGATATAGAGGTCAGATAGAAAACATTGCGCAATGTATTAATCATTTTCAGATGGGGTTTACCTGCTCTATTCTGTCTAATTTTCTATATACTTTTGGGGCCAATATACTCTTACTGCACTGGCCCATTCCGAGGTTTGCGGTTGGTGGTGGTCATTGGGGCAGAGGATTTTGGCATCGCTTTTGCTGATCGGCTGTTGCGCCTCAGCTGTAGGTGGTAATTTTTGCTCATTCTGTTCTATTGGGAGTTTTTCCCCAAACAGTTTACTGTTAGGGTTCTCAATTCTTTCTTAAGATGTGTCCGCCCTTTGTGTCACTGCTGGTGTCTGCCCTTTTCCGCTGGCCATGTAGCATGCAGTCTATTCATTTGTCTCCCAGGTCTGTCACTGCTGGTGTCCGCCCTTTTCCTCTGGCCATGTAGCATTTCTATTCATTTGTCTCCCAGGTCTGTCACTGCTGGTGTCC